CCCTTTAACAGCTCTTTAGTTGATATCTGACTGACAGGAATATTTGAGACCAAAGCTTAGATATTGCCTGGTGAGAAAATATGAAGCATCCCAAAATTTGAAGGTGAGGGTACCTTATCTTAGTAGATGAGTACTCAGCAAGTTTCTGATGGCAGGTTGTTCTGTAATGAATCATTCCTGTGGAAAAAGAACATCAGTTGAGGTCTTGATGTCGTCTTTGACAGCCGCTGTTGGTCTGGCAGCAGCAGATGCTGAACGTGCTCCCTTGCGCAGCACAGACAGGCTGTAGCTGCTACGAGGATGTGGAGATAAGAGGGATCTGGTTGCTGACAAACTGGCAGGTTAGCAGAACTACACCAGCCTGTCACGGCACAGGTGACCACATCTCACTGCCTAGAAGCAGCCCAGCAGCTTGGATCAGGTCAGCAGGCACTCAGCTTATGCCCTGATGCCTCACTGCGAGCGAGTGTTGTCAGAGCCCAGTGACACTGTTATGTGGGGACACAAGCCCCTACCAAGCCAAATCAGAATGTTTTTTGGCAGGTTCAGCAAAATGCAATTACCAGTAACTAGAGAGACCAAGGGCACATGCTGTGGGATAATCAGCAGTCTGACATACACAACTAGAGAAAAGTCAGTGCTCATTAACAGGTCGTAAATATAGTCAGTTTTGTCCTGACCTCTTGGCTTGGCAGAATACTTCCCACAGATGTCAGTTCTTTCAGAACATCCACAGCAACTGCCCATCCACAAGTAGCCGAGTAAGTCTGAAGAGTCATGCCCATGAAACGGGGGAAGCGCTGTTCTGCCGTCTCTGGCTGCAGCCAGCCCCTCCTTTGCCTCGAGGCTGGTTCTCCTCTGACCCACCTCCGAGTTCATTCAATGTACCAGGGGCTCATCAGGAAACAATAGAATAATTTTCTTCCTCCCACTCCCGCAGTACCTTTCTTTTGGGCTGAAGGGTTAATTCACCTCACAGTAGCTCCAGAAAGTGTCAGAGATGAGAGAACCAGGGAGAACTGTTGGAAAGGCATGGCCCCTAGCAGAAAACAAGGTCAGCTGGTGCTTACCCTGTCTCGGTTGGCCCTGGGGAGGAGAGTGGCAGGGCTCAGCCAGGAAGTTGGTCAGTCGAGGTTTAGACTGATGCCACTGGGGAGCAATTCCAGGCCATCTTGAAAGAAGACACTAAGATACATAAATATGTGAAACTGTATTTTAATGAGCAGTTTGATTAAATCTACCTTAGGCTGGCTAATCATAGGTCATAAAAAGCTAGTTTAAAGTTGTAATAAACAAAATATTATTGAAAGTGAATGAATTTAAAGAGGTAAAAACCAGACAAGACCCAGAGCAGTTTCTCAGTAACAACTTCCAAATGCACACTATAAAATTATGTGTTTTCGATTCATTATAATGACAATTAAGAGAATTTTAAAATACATATGCTACAGGTTTAATTAAAAAAAAACCCTATTAACATGGCATGAATTAATCAACAGTTTAAAAAATGCTTTAAACTTCCTACCTAATTTCTAATTAAGGGGTCGTCCTCACTTTTCTTGCCAAGGAGAAAAGCTACTATAACTTTCAGAAATGGAGACCTAGAACAAGTTAAATGATGTAGCAGCAGAGCGGGATCAACAAACACAGGTTGTTGAAACACAGATTTTTAAAGCACGCAAACAAAATGTCACATTAGCTCTTCGTAGCTTTTCTCAGAATCTTCTTTTGCATCTGAGTTTTCATTCCTCCTACTGTAGCATTTGACAGGATTTGTAAACAGCAGTGGTTGTTCAGCTTTTTTTCTGTTTGTTTGTTTCTTTTAACTCTTCTTTTCTTCTTGGATGTGTTTAACACTTGAAACTGAGGCTCACATCCATCCGTCAGCTGAGGATAAGAGCACCCTCTTCTGGTCTTAACAGTATGAGGCAGAATCCAGAACTCCCACCATCGTGTAAAGAAACCTGTACAGGAAAAACAAGAGAAAAGTGAAAATATTTTAAAACTAGGTATTTAGTCATAAGAAATAGGCAAAGGAATATTAATGCCACTATGTTAGCCCAACCTATTCAACTGTGGGGGCTGAGGAGCAATTTTAGAATGGTCCTTGTGGGCCATGAGGACACTTTGTGCAGGTGTGGTGGCCAGTGTGTCTTCATCCCTGTCTGTGGTGGCAGCACTCCAGGCAGAGACTGGCTTGACAGCAAGCCTCCTGTCCCACTGCTTCCTCCTGTCCCACTGCTTCCTCCTCTAGTGTGGGCATCAAGGCCAGTGATCTGCATACCTGTCTGTTCTGGGCTCATGCTGCCTGCGCAGCCATCCGTCACCTCTGCTGATGCAAAGGTGGTAGCTGCAGAGGATTATCTGGTGGGCCAACGCTGTGCAAAAAGTTAGCCTATCCTGTTTAATTAGACCACCAGTCTGGCCTAGCAGCTCCTTTATAACCTTAGTACTGGTATCTTTAAACTTGCTCAGCCTTTCAGGAAGACTCCGAAATGTTACGCTCCCACTGTGGTTTCCCATGCTGAGCTGTATGTTGCTTCCATGAGAATTGTTTCAGGGATCCTTCATGTAGAGTGCTGCCTGACTTTCACTTTAAAATATTTGTTATTAACACTTTCAAAACATTGATTATTGCTGTATTAGAAAACAAAAAGTCATGGTAATTTGTTGTATGAGGCAAACAGGTGACACTAATCAATGAAACTTAATTAAATTGCAAAAAGCCATTTCTGCTGAAGGGAAAACAAACAAAGCCAACAAGTAACAGCACTGAGATGGACTGAAATCACACCTGACCCTGCAGGCTGAACAAAGTGGGTGTTCGGGCATCTCTGGATAGCTTAGCTTACTAGACTGGGGTCTTCTTTCTCCTCTGGCTTTTTCTGGTAATGCTTGACACAATTTAGTTTTAAAAACCAGTAGTGCCCTGTGCTGTACATAGGTGCTAAAGTATGCACAGGGCATACGTAACTGTTAATACATATCATCTGTTTGCACTGTGTGGTAGAGGAGCATTACTTCAGGCGTAGACACAACTGCAGTGGTCATGGAGCGGAGTGGGGGAGATGGGCAATGCTGAAGTTTCCTGAGTGGGGAAACAGACTGAAGTGATGGTGTCATCTGTAGTCTGTCCCTCCAAACAGATCATCTCTACAGATAAATTCACACCTGAATGAATGTAAGTGTTGTTGTCATCTACAAGATCCCGTTTTCTCCTGCTGGATGTTTTGAAGGATCTAGCCCATGCTGCTTCATCTGCACAGCGATATCAAACAAGTAATCATAACACTCACACCTAAAATTAAAAAGAAAAACAAAGTGAAATGTAAAGTAAGGTTCAAGTCTTACCATGTTTTATGGAAATTAATAATTTTCTTCCTTGAGCTGTATATGCAATGGTCTGACTGACAGCTCTATTATCACTTATTTCCATTACTGCAGTATGGAAAGTGCCCAGCATTTTTGCTACATGATCCTGATATGCTGCATTTCCATCAGCAAATGAAGAAGTAAATTCCAAAGACAGGACTAGGGAAGACTACATAAACAGTGCTGGCAGGCGTCACATAAAAGCAGAGATTGCCTGCTGGTTTCGTATGAGGAGGCAGTTGTCCACATGAAAGGAAAATGCTGGGAACTCTATCAGCCAGCATTGACATGAAAGGAAAACCCAGCAGTGGAATCATGGATCAGCCCAGTCCCAAAAGCTCCCTGTACGTTCAGTGAGGCCAGAACGTAACGTTCTGAATTGTTGTCCATGGGTTGAAATACACGTGACATTAAGGTCGTTAAGATTTTGAGGTGTAATGGCAGAAGACACCGTATTCCTAAATTTACTCACATTGTTTTGGCTTTTTCCCATGTTTCTCCCCACACGTAAACTCCGTGACGTCTGACCAGTACGGCACAGGAGTCTGGGTATTCTTCCATCGCACGCGCCATTCGTTCCTTGAGATCCTTCTCTTCTGGCGTGTTCTCAATAATGGGCACCACTAGTGTATCGTTATAGCTAAAAGAAAAGTGAATGTTCATGTATTTAAAAAGAGGCTGTGTTTGGATTACGAAGCTTTTCCCCAAGAAAGAGATTCTCCTTTGTGTGAAGACGTTAATAAATTCCCAACACTAGTGATTTTATGCTTTTCTCTTGTGAGTCGCACTGTAACCTAAGAGCTCTCCGGAACATCTCTCACTCCCAAACGTATGCCCTGCTGGCAATACCTGAGCTACACTTGAGGCACAAAAAGAAAATAACACTTTAATGTATTAGGTGTAGCTGTTTGTTCACACATCACTTTGTAGTCAGGTCCCTTTACAACTTTTTTAGACTCTCTTCATCCTGTATTGGCATCACCTGCAAGCTTTATCTCAGATTAAATTATTTAAAAGAATCACATCATGAAGAAGGAAATGAAGCTGTTTGCTGGAGAGCAGAAAAAAAATAATTTAGGTAGTCCAAAAAGCCCCTGGAAATAAGATTGTCCTGCTAAGGCATATAAATAGAAAGTAGAGTCAACACACGAAAAATAAATTCTCTGTGATGGAGTCATTGGTGGGCTATATGTGATCTCAAGAGAGCCTGAGAACCCCAGTTCCAAAGGCAAGATGATGCATGTTACTCAGTGGAACTTGCCTCAGAGTTTCTTCTGAAGGAGGACTGCGATATTTGGCATTGTTTAAACCTTAATTAACACTGGCAGAAACTTGTTTAAATAGTTTTAATAAGTCCCCAGTTCAGGTTCAGATTTATCATTGAGATCACATAGATATTTCATAAGTGCATGCTACTTACTTTTATAAAACACAGAGAGAAGGCAATGGTAAAAATGATACAGCTTGTACTTCAAATCAGATGTTCAGAAAATTAAAGTCTCATTCAGTGTTTAATGCTGATGCTTTCCCAAGAAAGTCTATAAAAATAGCGAATGAAGAAATTAAATGTTTTTTGTAAGTTTACTTTGACTCTTATGTATTCTGGTCATTAAAACTAGATCTGGAGTGTTTGGTCCTGGTGAGGCCACATGAGCTGAGGGGCTGCTTTCCTGGGTTCTGCTTTCTACTTGGATGTGAGTTTGGAAGCAGATAGAAATACCGTAACTAGTGATAACCATGAGCTTTTTATCAAGAACTCCTATCTATAAAACCCCAAGAGGACTCTGAATGAGTTAAATAATTGCTGTCTCTTCAGTTTCATTGAGATATAAGCAGACCACATTTAGCCAAACTTTCACCTAAAATATCTTGGGACATTCTGAGGCTTTCAAAGCTATTCACTACAGATCTAGTTCTCCTTCTGCTAAAGTCAAAGGTAAAGCTGTTCTGGCATCGCTGAGATCATACTTAGGCCAACAAATACCGTTGATTATCCCATCTGTAGCATGTTCCTGGATAGCTTCCAGAAAAGGTTTATGTAATTGGAAACAATATATTGTCAATCTCTCTCTGTTTTTAAAGATCCCATTCTGTACTACTGCATTTCTCTTGAATTCAAAGGGGAGCCCTGTGTGACGCGAGACAGTGGAGTCAGTCTAGTATGGATCAATATGTACTTAGGAACCATGTCACCTGCAGCTTTGATTTCTTTAGTTTTCCTGGTAAATTAACAGGATGACACGGAACAACATTTAGGAATGTTTGAGACTTCAGAATGCATATCCCCTCCAAAAAAATTGTTGTGGCTTTCTTTTTTTCAAACCAGTGTTGTTAGACAATTCAATGTAAGGGCTGTATTTGCCACATTAAAAAACAAAATGCTAATGCTGACAAGAAGATAAAGCTAGCAAGTCAACCAAAACTGAATAAAATATGCCCAGGTGTAAAATCTCACGCCAGACGTATGGCTTGCTCCCTTGCCAAAAGGCAATAGTTAGTTACAAAAAATAACATCAGAAAGAATTTAGCATTTCAATTTTTCATCTAATTGTCACATATTATATAAATGTTTGTGGATCCCAATTCAGCGCTCTGTGGGCGGAGTCCTCAAAACAAGCCATCACACATAATTTGGAATAACTCAGCACTTACCTCAGAGCTCATCCTTGAAAAGTAATCATGTTATCTTTAATGAGGTGTTTATTCTGAATTTTCTTTCAAAGTCTGTCAAGTCAAATCTGAAATCCTCTCCTCTCTTAATGTGTTCTAAACTAAGCACAGGCAGTGATAAGTGAAGTCCACCCCTATGTAGTTTGTATGTTATCAATAGAACCTAATGTTGGTTGGCTCCAGTTTTGGTTTAACATCACGTAGATGTGTTAACATCTCTGTTCCTCAGATATCTGTCAGGACATAGCTCTGTATTTGGTTCGTTTCTGTAGCCCAACAAACCACAGTAGGCTTGACATTACAAGATTTTATCTCAGATCTTTTCCATAGGCTTGAGACCTTCTTAGGGAAAGCCAATGACAGATCTATTCCAGAGGTCTTGTTATTTCTTATTCCTAAGGCTTTATATTACACACGTTAACGCGCATAACTCAAACGACTTGTCATCTATTTACATTGCTGAAAAAAACCAATCAAATAGCATGCTGCTTTTCTTAAATATAGAGAAGTACCGGTAGTAGCCTCCTGAAGTGCACTTCTGGATGCCTTTTATCATCTCCTGATGGGTAATGCTGAACTCACTCCCTGGGTACAGAAGGGTAGCCATGACAGCAGCCTTGGAATGAGTGTGGATCACTGCACCTGCCCCTAAGGAGAGAAAAGGAAGAAAATGGTCTATTTTTAGAATTCATTTAAAAATGCATGTTAAGAACATTTTATTCATATCCTTGGATCATTTTCTTTGGCTAGGCATCTTTGCAAATGGTGATCTACTGTATTAGAGGAAGAAATACACAACAAATTATCTCATACAAAGGCATGAGATAATCATGGATTGCCTTAGGACACTACTGTCAACTTTCAGTTAGTGACAAATTCCAGCAGAGAAACTACTTGCACAAATTCAAGGAGAAACACTGCTTGTACTTTTCTTTACATACTGCAATGACTGAAACACTCTGATAATTTTATCAGAGTTCTGAGATTCCAAAGAATTCCCAAACTTACTGCAGAGACAAAAGTTTAAAGATTTTTTACTTTCTTTTTATGCTAATACTCTTCTTTGATTACTCACGGATCCTCTGAAAAAAATATTTATTGTTATCTTATTGTGTTATGGTGGAATGACAGGTAGACAGTAATTATAATTTACTTATGAAGTTGCAGTGTTGCCAAAAATATGAAATGAGTTTTCCTCGGGTACGCATTTAAGCTTCTTGTGCAGGAAGATGAGAAGAGACTCCCTAAATCCTTTCTAAAACAACAGTTGTAAATCTTACAGAAGAGCAAAAGCTCTCTATTACTGTCCACCTGCAAAAGACAAGTTTCATACTTTTTACACCTATCTGTAATTTACAACGTTTGATCACAGACAGTGGTTGTAAAAGGATCTAAAATATAGTTGCTGAATAGGCAAAACTTTTGGTTTTGGTAAACTGCTGTAAATTCCCCAGCTCTTCCTGCAACCTGCTAATACACTGCACTGAAAACTAGTGCCGAAAAGCTGATGACAGGTACAGCCAGATGGTAAGGTTAAAATGTAAGTGACACTCACAGGATGTTACCACGGGTTACCCTCCATTGTACACATTCCTTTGGAAATCAATTTATTTTATAGTTTCCCGTTTATTTCACTGTAACTTCCATGTATGAAGAACATGTTATTGCATTTCAGTTTTGTGAATGTGTATGTGCAGCGTTCCAGTCATCACTGAACTAAAACCATTTGTCACACACCTCTCATGGTGTAGGCGTTCATGAAAAGTGGTGTGCACTGGCTTTTCTTTAGTTTCTTGTGTGGAGGAGGACCACTGATGTCCTGTTCGTTCATGTCACAAACAAACATATCTTCTGGCTGTAAGAAAGAAGAAATTATTTTGACCAGTGATGACTTGAATAGCTTTGTTTTCCTTCTAGGGAGACAAATATATACAACAAATATTTAATACAGAATGTGATTCTGACTTTGTAAACACACTACATTTATTCTAGCTCCTAATACCACTTACTGACATTGTGTATTGTGAATTAATATTAGGTACCCTTTTTATTCAGACTGCTGCCAAGCAGATATTTGTAAAACTAAAATTTTCTCAGAAGGCAGACGGCCTGTGTCTAAATAACAGACAACAGATCAAAAGGAAATGAAGTAACTGATTCAAAAAAAGAAATGCAGATGTACTTCTCCTTCCCCCCTTAAAGAACCAACAAAGGATGTGAACTAAATCTACATATAATATACTTAACTTGTAGAACTATTTTTTTAAACCTTGCTTTGAGTAGCTTTACATGAATGTTACCTTTGCATCAATCAGCTACTCACAATCATACAAGTAATTGTTCAGGGCAGCACCAAAACCTTCTTCTGTAATGTCATTTTAAAAACCAGCAGGAAATACAGTTGTAAGGAATTTCCTTACTCACTGCGCTCAATCTGCTGCTACTGCTGGCAAAGAACAGACCATCAGGGTCTTGTCATGTTCCGCCTCTGCCTTGCTAACCTCCCAGCCAGCACTGCTGCGAAACCCCACGTTCCTATCAGTGGAGAGATTCCTCTCACTTCTCACTGTATTTACCCTCAGATCTAGAAGACAACAAATCTTTTCCACATATTCTATTCTAGGGGAGTTCCTGCTGCCATAAAATAGTTTACATTTACTGTTCTCCCCTCCACTTTTTTTTTTTTTTTTTTGGAAAGGAGGCAGATAGAGGAGGTGACCTCTTCACAGACAGAGTCCATGTATTTACAGAGGGATGAGGTGTCAATGTTAATTACGTACGTGTCACAGTAACTTGGAAAACGGTAGCTGGACAGCTCTAAAGCCATTCAGGCTTGCCAAAGAATAAAGCTGCACTTGAGTGAAGTTCAAATCTCAGTCTTTTGTGCTAATTTAAATAAGAGAGAACATCAAGACTAATCTGCCCTGGCCACTGAAACACATGCTGGCTTGCCAGGCCAGTGGAGTACCGGGAGAAATCCTCCGTTGTTTCAATAGTGCTGCCAACAGTACAGTGAGTTTCTGTCTCTACATAAGGAAAATGGAACTCTAAACAAAGGTACTTTCATCTGTCTCAAGATGAGCTCTGAGCTAAAAACACAGTTCAACGTACCTGTATCCTTTCCTTTTGGACTCCTGAAGGAGCGATGTAGATTTCATTCCTAGGAAAAGTCACAGACAGGAGGATTGATAAACACAGGCTTGTCCAGCTGCACCCGCTCCACTGAAACATGCACATCACCAAGGGAAACCCCTCGTGTGCAGGGCCACAGCTCTGCTTTCAGCCTGACAGGAGATCTGAAACGCACGTAGGAAGTGCTGCCTTATTTCTCCTTAAAATGAAAACACAGCCTCACCCTGCAGTAATTCCAAACTCAAATCCCCAGAATTCAGAGCAAAAGTGGAACAAGAGAAATCACAAGCAGATACTGATTTATGACAAAACAGGTGATAAAACTATTACTTAAAAATCCTCAGACTACCTATAAACAATATTAATGATCTGTAGTATTCTACAATGGAAATATTTTTGTTTTTTCTTATAACCATGTAGTTTAGGCTTTTATTGCACTTATATATTAATATATATCTATAAAAATAGATTTAAATTAAAATGATTTTAAGATGGTATCTGAAATATTTTCAATAATAGCAAAAAAAAATCAGATTATCTCTCCCATTTGTAATCACTACTTGGTTTCAACAGTAATATATTAAATTCAGGAGCATAGAGACATCTAGTGAATAATTAGTCAAGTTACAGATACATTTCCTAAGGACCACGAGATGTTTGTATTTCTGGAGACGAGCACTTAGAAGAGCAGTGGAGCTGGGGAAGGGTCTGGAGCACAAGTGTGCTGAGTTCCCTTGTGGCTGAGGGAACTGGGGGTGTTGAGCCTGGAGAAAAGGAGGCTGAGGGGAGACCTTGTGGCTCTGTGCAAGTCCCTTGGAGGAGGGTGGAGAGAGGTGGGGGTCGGCCTTGTTGTGGTTTAACCCCAGCGGGCAACTGAGCACGACACTCAAAGACATTCAGGCATGGCACCTGGGGACTTGGTTCAGTGGTGAACTTGGCAGTGTTGGGTTTATGGTTGAACTCGATGATCTTTCAAACCTAAATGATTCTCTGATTCTAAATCTTCCAAAAATACAACTTTTAAGATGATGTATCTGGCAGGGGGATTGGACCAGATGATCTTTCAAGGTCCCTTCCAATCCCTAACATTCTGTGATTCTGTGTGTTCTTCATAGTGGTAAAATGACTGTGAAGCATATCAAAATGTGGCTTTATAATATTTGTAATTTTTAAGGTTCATTAATTAACACTGCCAACATTGCATCAATTGAGTTTTAATTCCTTTGCATGAGTAAGACGACTGAGAGCACAACATAGTGAGAATCAAGTGGTAATTCAGTTACTAATGAAAGACATTCTTTTTTTCTTAATTTTCTTTTTTAGAAATTAATCACAAAGGGAAAATCTGATGATGAAATACAGCCTTTGAAATACAGGACACCTGTCAAAGAATTCTGGATCCATTTTTAGTATGCTATCCCCTGTCCAAATTGGCATTTTTATTCCTAGTAGCTGACACTAACTGCACAGGAAGTAATGCTGATCAGGATTAGCTGGTAAGACCAGTTGTTTGAATTTCAATCAAATTCCAATTGTTCCTTCACTGTTTCCTATGTAACAACTCTAAGCTAGTCTGATCTCTGCCTCATGGCTATTAATTTGGAAACACAGCTCCTGTTACCATAGGTGTAAAACAGTACAGCCACATAGATTACTGTTCCCAGACCGGGTACTGTGTCGGTACCAATGCAAAGCCGTGTTCTGGGGTAGTCAGAGCAACCAGGTTGCAGAACTGTGAGGAAAACTGCACTAGTATGTTAGTATAGCCCCTGCTGACACCAGCTGCCTTGCCACAACCAACATGAAATGCACTGAAATGACAAAGAAAATAGGCTATGTTTAGCTACTGATGAGAAAATGGTGCTAGAAAGATCTTTCCATAGACAAAGAACTTTAAAACCAAGAATTAAGCCTCTTCTGATTCCTCCCATTATTACTGCTGTTGCTTTGCTTGCAGAATCAAGCACGGAGGTGAAGTGTCCTGCACAAAGCCATTAGAACAGCACAAATAGCAGCCTTCAGAGCCTTTACTTCAGACAGAGATCTCTCTAATACATCTGGATAGCAATGGCTGCTTTTTTCTGTCAGAAAAAATGAGAGGTCAGACACTTTCAAGTTAGAGTGTCACAGCACCCTGCGACTGGGGACAGAACTACAGGCACTGTGCAGGGTGCTTTGCAGAATGAGGACCTCTCTTTTTTCAGTGGCCACTGAGAGGAGCTCTGTCTCCATTAAGAACTTGGAAAGTATGAAGAGGGGAAGACTTTGCAAATTAAAAAGCAAAGTGGTGTTCCTTAGCAGTGGATACACACAAAAATTGTTTTGCTGTCGCCTGTCCTGCTTTAATTAGACATTACAAGAATATCTCCTTAGAAAGTTATCTCAGTAGAACAGTAATTTCCTTCTTAAAGGAAGTGTCTTTCCTGCAGAGTGTCTAGGGTGGGATTCATCTCATCTAACCACAGGCATCTGAAAGCCATGTGCCTGCTGTAACCCCCTCTAAATTCCAGAGTCAATGATATGAAAAAGAGGGAATGCGTTGTTCCTTGAAGACAATTCACCTACCTTAAACAACGATAAAGGGACAGAAAAAAGTCACCCTCAGAAGCTGGCTCTCTCCATTGGAGGGACTGCAATGATTAATTCAGACCAGCCACCTTCCTTCTTTATGGTTACCTTGGGTGTACAGGTCATCTCCCCCTCTACCTTCTTACTCACTCTGGACTTTCAAACATTTTTCATGGAACTGAAAATTCCTCATCAACTATGAAACACAGCCACCCTCTGTCTCTCACCATCACTTTCTTTCTCTTCCATCTTTACTTACCCATGTTTCAAGCTGATTCCTCCACCAGTTCCTGTTACCCAGCCTAAACCATAAAACAATCTACAAAGCTCTGGGATAAGATTTCTTGGATGTAACTTCTCCTAAAAATAAATTAAAGAAATAAATTTAAAAAACATCAGGAATACCACAAACCTAAGAAATTCAATTCTGAAATGGTTGTGCTTTCACATTGCAGTACGGCAGTCTAATTTGTGCTTATGAACTTCAGTTACAAAGTGACTGTGCGTTTGCACAATGCCTGTCACACTTTGCAGGGGCCACTCACACCTTGAGACAGACAAACGAAGCCCCCAAATGAAATGCATCTCGGATTGTCCTTCACAGGATAGGGCTCCTCGCAAATCTGTTTGAGTGCAGCGGCCAGGTATTGCACCAGCGAGATTAAGACATAGGCTACTGCCATAAAAAAGAACACTGAATGCACCTAGCGTTATCCATGCTCAAGAACTTTTCTGAATTGAAACTGAATCAGTTTTCTGTAGGTTTATTTCGCTTGATTTTCAAATTTCAGTAGAACAGACCTTAGTTCTGTTATATAATATTCAGACATAGCAGTCAGCAATACCACAGAAAACACTGGCAGATTTTTGGATGAACTTCGCATTCCGACGTTTTTTACAAAGCGAGGTTACCTCTCTCTCAGGCAGTTTGGCAAATTGCATTATTTAGGATTTCTTTTGGAAAGAAACTCTTACTCAAAATGACACCATTGCCTATTTCTATCCTATGGACTACAGTGGTATTTTTCATTTCAAAGATAAATTATGTCTCTTTGACTTTTGGTTGAATAATCTTATACTAAACAGGTTTATATTGCTACTATTGACTGAATGCACACAGCCCTAAAACCCCTAGATTATAACACTCCTACAGCTGTTTCATATTTTCCCTGTTTGATGAATCTAGACACACAGGGGAGAACGTGAGTGCTTTTCACCACTCGAAACAGAGTTTTTAGAAGTCCAAATTGAGAAGCTACTTTCCTCAAGAACACAGGGAAATAAATATAATCAAGGAATTTGGAATATTTTTCTGAAGAACTGCAGGATTATAAATCAATCCTCAGCGTTTAACAGTATTTTTCCAGAATCAGTAGATACTGGTGATAACCATTAACTATCTAAACAAAAATATTGCCATATTTCGTATTTAAAATTACTGATAACAAACACTGCAGTTCTTTCCAGAACTAAAAGAGGGTACTTGCTGTAGTAAGCCTGGGAGTGAACATGTGTGAAAGCAGCAGGCAGCTCAGCAGGATTACTCTGTCAGATCTCAATCACCAGTACTTTTACATTTGATTTTTAAGTTGAAATACAGATGCCATTGGTTATCTCTTCCTTCACAGCTGCAACTCGGGATCTGGCCCACTGGTTTCCTGAGACAGCGAACATGAACACTTGGTGCTGGTACCACCTTCGCCCGCGTGTGGTTAACACGCTGTCAGGCGTGAAGAAAATCTCCACAAATGTCCATGAACTAAGAGAAGTGACTAATTTTTCAGTCCATTAAATTATTTTTTTAAAAAACAAATTTGCTGGTCAGTTTTTAAACAGAAACTGAAAGTATTCCCTGAAAATTTAGAATATTTCCATCAGTCAAATATTTTTTTAAAAATAATTATTACTCTATTCTGCAAGACTGTGGTTGCTCAAGGAAAATTAGCTTTTCCCTATTTTTATTATTTCAAATTACTGTACCTAATATGACTTGAAAACTAACCAAACCAAACCAACCCCCCCTCCCAGCTATCAAACCCAGAAGCACAGGCGGAGCTCACGTAACGGAAATGCGGGTGGGCTCGGGCCGCGTGAGGGACAAACGCGTCGGTAAAGGTTTGGGGGATACACGCTCCCCCCGCCCAGCCCCGGC